GGACCGACCGAGGAACCAGACTCACCAGTTTGAGCACCTTGATGCAGTTTTCGTTTTGGAGCCTCTTCTCTCTGCAGTCCGCCTGCAGGCCGTGCACTTCCCTCCGGAGCCCGAGCTCCGACCCCGTGTGCTGGTTCTGGAGGAGCGAGGTCGAGGCCACGGCGTCTATCTTCAGCCCGGAGGTCGTGTCGTGGTGTTCGGACAGGACGTGCTTCAGCTTCTGCTTGTACACCTGCACGCCGATGATCACATGGTGTTTAGATGTGAAATTCAAATGGGGTTTGTTCTAAATTATACTGAGTTTAATTAGTATGTGAAGTTTGATAAAAGTAAATAATAATATAAAGAATATTGTGGATGTTGAAGTAAACAGAGTGGATACATATAAAAGAGAATATACAGCAGATAATGGGGCGGATGTATCAGGCTGTTCGTCTGGATCTCACCATAATCAAACAAATATAAAAATATGTCTCTGTGAATAAACCCTATAATAATAAACCGTGTGTGTGTGTGTGTGTGTGTGTGTGTGTGTGTGTGCAGCTCACCGTGATCTCCACTCGGTGGCGCTCCTCCGCCTCCTCTCTCTCCCTGTGTCTGTTCCTCAGCTCGGCCTTCGTCTCCTCCAGACTCCTCTTGGAGATTTCCCAGAATGCCTGGATCTTGTCCCTCTCCAGCTGGAAGTAGCTCCTCTCCTCCCGCTCTCTGTCCAGCTCCTCTCGCAGGCGAACGATGTGCTCCTCCAGCTGGAGGGTCACACACACATTATCAGTCTGTCTGTCTGTCTGTCTGTCTGTCTGTCTGTCTGCGGCTGCCTCTTGATAAATAAGGCAGCCTTTATTAAATATAATGTTTACATCCGTTGTTGTATTTGAGATGTTTCCATTCCTCCTTTAAGATCACTGATTATATTTCAGTAACTTCTTTTATTTTTCATCTAGAAACTTCACAAACATACTTTAGCTTTCATAAAACTTCAAAGAATTCAAACTAATTATTATTATTGATTATGGTGTTATTAGTGATCAGTAATTTAATTATTCTGATAATTCATAATGTAAGTTTCCCATTATCAGTTGATCATTTATCTGCACTGATTATTGTCTCACGTTCCTCCTGTTGAGTGTTTTAATTGTTTTCAGCTTCATTCTTTTTATTATATTTCCATTTACAGCTTTATAATATTTACTGATGTTGTTTTTATGTTTGTGCTGTTTACGCTTTAGAGTGAACCACTGTGAGCTGCATGCTGGTGTGAAAGCTGCTTTATAAATAAAGTTCAATCAGGGTTCCCACTCTTTTCAAGAAATTGGTTTTCCAGGATCTTTCCAGGACATTTTCCAGGACAGCACTCGCTCACAGACGGTGGCATTTATCAATAATGGGAGACTGTTTGATGTCCACTAGAAGCACTGTGTATTAACCTGCAGGTGAAACATCCTTTAGTTGGCCACCTGCTGTACACTGATGGTGAGACAGGTTAATGAAAGCGACAGTAAAACTCCACAGACAGGTATTTGTACGTGGAGCTCCATGAAGCCATGATGGTGGATTATTTCTGTTCGTTACAGGACAAACAGGTTGTGTGTTATTCAAATGTGCATCAGTAGAAATAAAAGATCTGTTGTGAAAAAGGTCTGCTGACTGCAGCGAAGCACAAACACAATTACACATACATCATTTTAATCTATTTCCAGGTTTTCCAGGTTTTCCAGGACGCGTGGGGCCCTTACAGTGAACACAATGTGTGACATTTTCTACATGTAAATAAATATAAAGCGGTTAAACTGTGTCAGCATCGGCCTGTAGCTCTCACCTGGTCCTTGGACATCTCCTCGGTGGACAGACCGTCCACCGCCGCAGAAGGCTTCCCCTTCCCGGCCTTCTTCTTGCTCTTCGCTTTTGGAGGCTGAAGAAGGAAACACACATTAAAGCTGCTGTGTGGCTGATGCTAAGCTACAGCATGCTAACAGCAGCGTCATTACTGTGATATATGAAACAAAGTTCACTCACCATCGTCAGTTACAGCCGGTAGTGTCTGTAGACAGCTGTTAGCTCACCAGCTAGCCGCAGCTACGTGTAAACACGATGGGTTGTCAGGGCAACGTCAGATTCTTCTTCTTCGGTTTTAATGGCGGTCGGTAAACCTGCTTATAGGTGCATTACCGCCACCTGCTGGACGGGAGTGTGGAAATATATAAAAACTCTCTTTTATTCTTGTTATTTTAAAATAATTAATACATACATAAATTAATGAATATCATGTCTGTTCTCTTCCTGCAGTCTTTTAATACATAATCCACAGTTTACATTTTTTTTACAATGAGAATGAACTTAACTAATAACAAAGATATAAATCTTTTCTTGGTAAATTTACATTTATGTATATGAAACTTAATTATATTTATGAAACTTATTAGATTCGGGAAATAATAATGGACTGGAGCCAAATTTAAACATCCTCCAGGCTGCTGCCTCTGATCTGGAGTGTGTGAATGAATCCTGTATTCTCAGATGGGTGATAATATCTGTCTCTTCCTTTAAATAATACAAACATATCTATCTTCTATATGTCTGTATTCTTTAATTGTGCAAAACTACACTACACTACACTACATTACACTACACTGCACTACACTGCACTACACTACATTACACTACACTACACTACACTACACTACACTACGTTACACTGCACTACACTACACTGCACTACACTACACTGCACTACACTACACTACACTACACTGCACTACACTACACTGCACTACACTACACTACACTACACTACACTGCACTACACTACACTACACTACACTACACTACACTACACTACACTACACTACACTGCACTACACTACACTACACTACACTACATTACACTACACTACACTACACTACACTACACTACACTGCACTACACTACACTGCACTACACTACATTACACTACACTGCACTACACTACACTGCACTACACTACACTACACTACACTGCACTACACTACATTACACTACACTGCACTACACTACACTACACTACACTACACTACACTGCACTACACTACACTACACTACACTACACTGCACTACACTACACTACACTACACTACACTACATTACACTACACTGCACTACATTACACTACACTGCACTACACTACATTACACTACACTGCACTACACTACACTACACTACACTACACTACATTACACTACACTGCACTACACTACACTACACTACACTACACTGCACTACACTACACTGCACTACACTACATTACACTACACTACATACACTACACTACATTACACTACACTACATTACACTACACTGCACTACACTACATTACACTACACTACACTACACTACACTACACTACACTACACTACACTACACTACACTACACTACATTACACTACACTACACTACATTACACTACACTACACTACACTACACTGCACTACACTACACTACACTACACTACACTACACTACACTGCACTGCACTACACTACACTACACTACATCGCACTACATTACACTGCACTACACTACACTACATTACACTGCACTACATTACACTACACTACACTACACTACACTGCACTACACTACACGACACTACATTACACTACACTACACTGCACTACACTGCACTACACTACACGACACTACATTACACTACACTGCACTACACTGCACTGCACTACACTACACTACACTGCACTACACTGCACTGCACTGCACTACACTACACTACATTACATTGCACTACACTACATACACTGCACTACACTACACTACACTACATTACACTACACTACACTGCACTACACTACATTACACTGCACTACACTACACTGCACTGCACTGCACTACACTACACTACACTACACTACATTACACTGCACTACACTACACTGCACTACACTACATTACACTACACTGCACTGCACTACACTACACTGCACTACACTACACTGCACTACACTACATTACACTACACTACATACACTACACTACATTACACTACACTACACTACACTACACTGCACTACACTGACTTACACTACACTACACTACATTACACTACACTACACTACACTACACTGCACTACACTACATTACACTACACTACACTACACTACACTACACTACACACTACACTGCACTACACTACACTACACTACACTACACTACACTACACTGCACTACACTACACTACACTACACTACATTACACTACACTACATTACACTACACTACATTACACTACACTGCACTACACTACACTACACTACACTACACTACACTACACTACACTACACTACACTACACTGCACTACACTACATTACACTACACTACACTACACTACACTACACTACACTACACTACACTACACTACACTGCACTACACTACACTGCACTACACTGCACTACACTACACTACACTACACTACACTACACTACACTACACTACACTACACTACATTACATTGCACTACATTACACTGCACTACACTACACTACACTACATACACTGCACTACACTACACTACACTACATACACTGCACTGCACTGCACTGCACTACACTACACTACATTACATTGCACTACATTACACTGCACTACACTACACTACACTACACTACACTACACTACACTGCACTACACTACATTACACTACACAACAATACATTACACTACATTACACTACACTACACTGCACTATACTACACTGCACTACACTGCAAGAGAAGCTATATATATATTATCTTGCTAGATAAATAAAATATGTTCTGTGTTATATATACGTTTTTATAACAAAGAGAAAAGAAATCAAATGTATAAAATGAAATAAAAGTAGCTGTTTTTAAACGTGTCTCTGTAATGCAGCAGTTTAACTGCTGATACCCTGAGAAGCATCTTCACACACATTTTAATACAGCGCTTTTATTTGTTGAGATTAAAACACAACAACAGTAAAGACTCTACAGAATGACAGGAAATGAGCGAACCCTTTAATATCGTTATCGGCACAAAGAGAGAAAAACAACAACAGGTGGATCAATACAAACAATCAGAGGACGTATTTACAGTGTTTACAGCATTTACAGTGTTTACAGTATTTACATTGTATACAGTATTTACATTGTTTACATTGTTTACAGTGTTTAGAGTTTACAGTGTTTACAGTATTTACATTGTATACAGTATTTACATTGTTTACATTGTTTACAGTGTTTAGTGTTTACAGTTTTTACAGTATTTACATTGTATACATTAATTACATTGTTTACAGTATTTACAGTGTTTACATTGTTTACATTATTTACAGTATTTACATTGTTTACAGTGTTTAGTGTTTACAGTGTTTACAGTATTTACATTGTATACATTATTTACATTGTTTACAGTATTTACAGTGTTTACATTGTTTACAGTGTTTAGTGTTTACAGTATTTACAGTATTTACAGTGTTTACATTGTTTACAGTGTTTAGTATTTACAGTATTTACAGTGTTTACATTGTTTACATAATTTACAGTATTTACAGTGTTTACATTGTTTACATTGTTTACAGTATTTACAGTGTTTACAGTGTTTAGTGTTTACATTATTTACAGTGTTTACAGTGTTAATATCTGATGCAGAATCCGTCAGTGGAGCCTCAGACAGTCTCTGTATTCGACAGTGTGACAGATAATTAACCAGCACTTCCTGTTTGTGGTGGATTCTGGGCGAGATAGTACACACACTCCTCACTGCTCCTCTTTGACTTGTTGACTGCGCTGTACAGATTGTTTGTGAGTGGCGTCTCGCTGCTGCCTGCCAGGTAGTAGGGACTTTCAACATCGGACTCCCTCCTCGGCTGCTCCTCGCCGTCCACAATCTCCTCGTAAATCACCTCAGCGTCAGTTGTTCTGTCCACAGCGACGTTTGTCTCTCGTCTCTTTTTTGAGCAGAATTTAAAGGTTAAGACGCCCAGAAGCACCAACGCAGCACCAACCACTGCACCAACAGCTACCTTCCAGGAATCTGAAGGTTGTTGGTTCTCTGGGTCTGAATCACCGGCTGCTGTTACCCCCTTCTGTCCGGGTCCAAGGCCAGAACCCGGTCCACTGATTGTGGATGTGACTGGTACATTTCCAGCATCCACCATGTTGGGATCTGGTTTCACTGTCAGATATACTCGACTTCCATTACACAAATACATTGTTTCATCATCAAGTGTAACATGTTTGATTTGCAGTGAGTTATCTGGCAGAGAAACAAAGCGTTCGTCAGATGTTTTCAGTTTGCCGTTTTTGACAAGAATCACCTCTGTACCACCTTTGAAGCGGGTCCATGTTACATCACCCATCTTATGAGGACAGGGCAGAGTAGCCACAGAGTTCTGCAGCACAGTCACTGAAGGGGGATTGCCTGTAAAGTAAAAAGGCAGCGATCAGTAACAGACTGAAGGTCGGTTTCTTTGCTTCAGAGCGTAGACAGTGTCATGTACGGAAGCTGAGTGATGCCGCATTTTTGCAGTGTCTTTTTTTACAGGATTTAATTTTTGTTTTACAGGAAGACACAATGATTGGATTTTATATAAAAATACAAAGAAACTGAGTTATTGTGAATGTTTGTCGTCATACGTTATTAAATAGAGGAACAATATAAGTGAGGATGTGATCTTAAAGGGTTAAAATTACATTTTCTGTTTTACTTGGACTTTAATTTGTGATCTTGAAACCATTCAAAAGAATAATTGCAAGCACGGCTGTTCTCAGCTTCCGTAGTACAATTCTGAGGTACTCTGTACTTTTTACTCCACTACATTTGACAGCTTTAGTTACTTTACAAATTACAGATTTTTGCACACAAAACATATGAAGAGTTTATAAAATATGATATTTTGCTGTAGTATAAGGAGTTTAAATCACCTAATATGGCTACTCTACAGATAAATAAATAAACCTTACTCAAGTAAAAGTGTTATTATTATCAAAGTTTACTGTCAGTGTAGTTTTATCGGATGGTTCTGTATTAATATTAACTGCTGTAGATGTTTAAGGTTGAGCTCATATGAACTACTTTATACATTGTTGGTGGTTTAACAAGAACTCAAAGAGTATATTATAGTCTATAGGTAACAGTCCCAGATACCTCAGAGAACGTATTTCTATCTGTTATTGTGTACAAATTAGTTGTTTGCGATGTTCTTCCTCTCACGTACACAACTACAGACACATGTAGTGGAGTAAAATGTATAAAGATTCATAAACTCACTCAAGCAAAGAACCACAGACGTGTACAGAAGTCGAGTACTTGAATAAATATATAATAAAAACCAGACAAATAAAGACGTTCTCACCGTTGTAGCTGAGACAGAAACCTCCAGCGAGGAGAACGAAGAGATAAAACAACATGTCTGCAGCCTGGGAACCTTCAGTGTCACTGACTGAGGAAGTTATGAGCATTAACACTCACTGTGTTACTGTTACGCCTTATTTATTACAGGAACCCCAACTCAGCTGTTTTTCAAAACAAAAGCCCCAGACTAACTGTATCTTAACAGAAAGGTCAAGATGAGGATAACCCTAACCCTGTTTTCCACAATAAAAGCCCTTAATGGTCACTTTATGTTAACAGGACACTATATATTTTCAAAATAAAAGCCCCAGACAGTAACCTCCTGAACAGATGGAGATATTTTTAATGAAAATAAAAGCCTATCTCATAATAGTGCTGTTGATTAAGCACTTATGATACATCATCAACATAGTAGGTCACAAATATCCCAGTTTCAGATCATTAATCAGGTTAAAATTAAAGCAGATGGAAAGATGCTTAAAATAATTTGGGTTATTTTAACTTGGTGTGACAACATTGTGTTTCCACATTTGTTGTGTGTGTGTGTGTGTGTGTGTGTGTGTGTGTGTGTGTGTGTGAAGGAGGGTGGGGGTGGCTGAATATTAAACATTCACACATTAAACCACCTCCACTTTAACTTCTTGCTCTGCAGCAACACAAATAGGTCAACGGAAACACAATGTTGTCACACCAAGTTAAAATAACCCAAATTATTTTAAGCATCTTTCCATCTGCTTTAATTTTAACCTGATTAATGATCTGATCTGTGTGTGTGTGTGTGTGTGTGTGTGTGTGTGTGTGTGTGTGTGTGTGTGTGTGTGTGTGAGTCTGTGAGTCTGTGTGTGTGTGTGTGTGTGTGTGTGTGTGTGTGTTTGTGAGTATGTGTATGTGTATGTGTATGTGTATGTGTGTGTATGTTTATGTGTGTGTGTGTGTGTGTGTGTGTGTGTGTGTGTGTGTGTGTGTGTGTGTGTGTGTATGTGTGTGAAGGACGGCAGCTTGTTTCTAAGAAAGAGGAAGTTAAAGCAGTCCAAACAGAAGGGAGTCTATTTCAGGCCCGATGTGTCAGTGAGGATAACGATGAATAAAAATCACCAGATCGGCTTTAATGAGAACAAAAAAAAAGTCCCACAGAGAAAACAGAAGTTTCAGAAATATAATCTGACTGTTCCTAATAAAGTCTTGCAGGTTCTTATCGATCCTGGTGGAGCGTCCTGCCGTGGTCCTGCTAGATTTCCATTACCAATACTGTTGTTGCTGTGCACCTGTCTGTCTGTCTGTCTCTCTCTCTCTCTCTCTCTCTCTCTCTCTCTCTCACCCCAACTGGTCGAGACAGACGACCACCCACCTAGAGCCGGAGGATCTGTCCTAGGTTTCTGCCTTTTAACAGGCAGTGTTTCCTTGCCCTTGTCTCCAAGGTCTTGCTCATGATGGTACTGTTGGGTCTCTGTAAATAATGTTTTAAGGAGTTCGGTCTAGACCTGCTCTATTTGAAAAGTGTCCTGAGATAACTTCTGTTATGAATTGGCACTATACAAATAAAATTGGATTGAAAAATTAAAGGCAGGTTAAGTTCAGTGACTGAAGCAAATAAAAACCTGGATTATCACGTCCAGTTACTTTCAAAATAAAGCTTATTTAAATTAATGTTGTTAAACAGTCGCAGTTTGGTTTGGGCACAGAAACTCCTGGATTAGGACCCAACGGCCTCCTTATGTTCTCTCTTTATACAACATCACCCGACTCTGACTCTGACGGTCCAGAACTGACCCCAGAGGGAAACCCACAGCGTCGTATTTGGGACTTGGGATTTGGACCGGTTTTGCTTTGAGCACCACAAACTGAAGAGCCACCTGGTTCCAGTATGTTGGAGAGAAAGCAGAGTTCTACGGGTCAGAGGAAGAATATTTAGTTTTGTGAACTGTTCCTTTAAAAAGAGGAAGGAAGGCACACATCATCCTTCAGTTTATCACAAACATCCAAAATAACCAAATATGGAAAAACGAGCTGTAAAAGGAGGGGAAATATATTATATATATCATATATAATTATATAATATAAATCAATTAAAATAAATAATAATTATAACAAATAAATTAATTGAAGTTAAAACTCAGAAGTAATACAAACCCATTTCTCCAAACCTATATAAAATGTTTTCATAGAACTTATCTGAATAATGTAAATGCTTCTTCTTACCACTTAAATTTAATTTAATCTATTTTCTTCCAATAAAAGTTAATTATACTATAAATGGTGAAAGAGCACAATGAAGTCTCGTTACTGGAAACAACCTGTGACGACTCTCACCTGTCACTCAAAGAGACCACGCCCCCTTAATTATACATAACTTTAATTATCTGCAGGTGTTTGTGAACAGATAATAAACAGTAATATACTATAATATAATATATGATATAATACAATATAATAATACACTTCTGTCAATAGACTCCCTTAAAGAAACAGTTTATTGAGTTAAGATAAAATATGTTCCTTCATTGATCCTGTAGGAGAAATTCAGATTTAACACATGTACAAATATATTCAAATCATTAAATTAATCTTAATTAATCTAGTTAAATTCTAAAATATCTGATTTCTTTCTTTGTAGAACATTGTGATGAATGTTGTGATGTTTTTAAGCCTGATCGTAACTTCCTGGAGGGACTTTAATGTTATGTCATTATTTTCTATTTTTGAATAATGTGTAAACTTACTCTTCCTGTATGATTTGTGCACGAGGGCGACTCATCGATAGTTCACTTTTAAAAGGATTCTGCCGTCACTACTGAAGGATGGCAGCCCAACATCATTAACTTCAGATCAGAAATATATCAGAAATATCCTTTTAATGTAGTTAGATACAACAACAGATTCAGCTTATAAAAACAAGAATTTACAGTATTTACAGTGTTTACATTATTATTATTATTATTATTATTATTATTATTATTATTGGTGTAATATGAACTTCAGCTGCTCCTCAGTCACAGTTCGGTCTCTCCTTTATCTTTTGAGCAGAATCATTAAAGCGGCCACAAGCACCAACGCAGCACAAACCCCGAAAACAACAGCTACCTTCCAGGAATCTGAAGGTTGTTGGTTCTCTGGGTCTGAATCACCGGCTGCTGTTACCCCCTTCTGTCCGGGTCCAAGGCCAGAACCCGGTCCACTGATTGTGGGTGGGACTGGTACATTTCCAGCATCCACCATGTTGGGATCTGGTTTCACTGTCAGATATACTTGACTTCCATTACACAAATACATTGTTTCATCATCAAGTGTAACATGTTTGATTTGCAGTGAGTTATCTGACAGAGAAACAAAGCGTTCGTCAGATGTTTCCAGTTTGCCATTTTTGACAAGAATCACCTCTTTACCACCTTTGAAGCGGGTCCATGTTACATCACCCATCTTATGAGGACAGGGCAGAGTAGCCACAGAGTTCTGCAGCACAGTAACTGAAGGGGGATTGCCTGTAAAGTAAAAAGGCAGCGATCAGTAACAGACTGAAGGTCGGTTTCTTTGTTTCAGACTGTGTTAACACGAAGAGATTATCTATTCATCCTTCAGTTCATCACAAACATTCAACACATCAGGACATACAGGAAGAGTAACTAAAGTAATATATATATATATATAATTATATAATAAAAACCAGACAAATAAAGACGTTCTCACCGTTGTAGCTGAGACAGAAACCTCCAGCGAGGAGAACGAAGAGATAAAACAACATGTCTGCAGCCTGGGAACCTTCAGTGTCACTGACTGACGAAGTTATGAGCATTAACACTGTGGTTGGAAACAACACTGACTGCTGTTCCTGTTGATAAAGCTGAACCCTGCCCTCCTCATTTACATCTAAATAAAGCCACAACCACTAACTGCATCTTCACTGCAAACAAACACTAACAATGCTGTTAACTGTGGAAGGAAGCTTAAAATAATTATTTATATATATTAATATTTATATAAATTAATTTGGGATGACAAACTGTATTCTTCCTGTTTCTGATGCTGCAGAGCAACAAACTGAGTTCATCTGTGGGAACATAAGTCAGCATTTAATATTCAATCACCCCACCCTCACACACTTACACACACTTACACACACTTACACACACACTTACACACACACACACACACTTTTTAAGAATAATGATTCATGTTTAGACGCATTGTGAATACAGTACGACTTCCGTACCTCCACTCCGGTAGATGGCGCCGAAGAGCGACTCTGCTGTGTGGTGCATGTATTTCTGTATTAGAGAGAGTGGCTGAGGATCAAAATAACAACGCCTCCGCAGTTTAAAGCCGACGTTTGGAAGCACTTTGGCTTCCAAGTTAAAAAAGATAGTAAGAACAACGAGTTGGATAAAGATAATTTGTAAGCCTCGTCTCGCTGCTGTGAAATATTGTGGGAACACAACGAACTTGCCCCAGGAGGCCCCTGGTGGCTCCTGGTGGCTCCTGGTGGCTCGAGACAAACGCCACAGCACTTGTTGAAATTGAAATAGGCGAAAATGGCAAAATATTATTGAAACGTAAGACTTGCAATAACAGAATTACTTGAAATGTTTGTGTTTCTGTAGAAAACATTATTATTTCACATTGAGCTTGTTTAGATGAGCCACAAACAATAACAACACAGCTGCTGCACTGGTGGCATCCATGTTCTGTTAAATTAATAAAAGGAAATTAATAATTAATAAATTAATAAAATGGAGAGGCTGTTTTGAATGAAATAGCTTTGACTCTATTTGTCCTCTGATCAATATAATCTGATGTGCATCCAGGTACTTGTGTTTTCATCTCTATTTATATCGCGATATCGTGATAAGTATCGTATCGTGAGGTTCTTGCCAATACTCACCCCTTGTTTAGAGTATTAACTACAGTTACTCTAAAGAAAGAAAAGAAATCTGTGTTTTAAAAAAGAAATAATGTCAAAGTTTAAATGAGGAAGATAAATTAAAGTGTCCCTTATTGCTCAACTCTTGGACACTGCCGCCATCTAGTGTTTGTAAAGTGTTAATACATCCAGAGTGCACTCATGAATCATTAACACATTTGTGCCCACAAATAAAACTTTGAATTTCCTTTGGTGGAAGTGTTCTCTGGGCTCGCCTGAGCAGAAAATCTGAAGAAATATTCAACACAGGTCGAACTGTTTGGCTGGAAAGAGTTTTTCTTATCATATTATATTTAGTCTCACTGTAAAACATAATGAGTTAGTTCAACTCAAACTGTTTGAGGACACCGACTGCCTTTAATCATTTAAGTCTATTAACTCAAACAATTTAAGCATGAACAATATTTGATTTGACTCAAGTATTTATTGTGAAGATAACTTGGGTAAATGAAGTTAACTGTACCAATTCCATTAAAACTAGTTAGTATATTACACTCATATGCAGGAACTTTCCAAACAGCTGATGTACAATACAAAATCTACAATGAATTGATTCTCCAAATGGTCAAATCACAAAACTGTAAAAATACTAAGCTATACTACATTTTTGTTTTATATAAAGTCAACTTAAAGAAAATGAGTCAGTGGAACAAACTGGAATTATGTGACCAATACTTGAAATACTGCACAAAAAGTTCCCTTAAACCAGTTGAGTTATTCAACAATTGAGTTTTGAGTTGGGTTGAATTCAAGTTATGTTAACGTCCTTCTTTTATTAAGATATGCTGTTAGGTTGCACAGTGCTTGATGCACATGGAAATTGAGCACAGCGTTAGTTCAGGCAGGGCCTTATTTGTTAACAACCTTGCATTAAATTTACAATAACCTAGACATATTGTTTTTAGTTAGATTCAAATTAATCATACGATGATCACTCAAGGGGCTATTTGAAATATTTGTTCCTGCTACATGTTTTAAGATTGAGTTTGATGTCAACCAGTAATCAATTCTTGATTTGGCCTGTCCGTTAGGCTTAAACCAAGTAAAACACCTCCTTTCCTTATTAAGTGTTCTCCAGATATCTATCAAGTTATTATTGTTGATGAAGTCCCCTATAATCTGATTATTATATTTTGATGAGTGCCTAGATGGCCACCTATCCATCCACTCATCAGGAGTTAGATTGAAATCACCTCCAACCAGTAAATAATCTTTAGTTCCTTAACAACTGCAGTAACTCGATGTAATAGATTTCTGTTTTTTTGGTCATTGTTATAGCCATAAACATTAACCAAAATAATGAGCATATTATCTATCGTCAGTACACAAGCTACCCAATGACCATCACTGTCAGACTTCTCCTTCATGATCTTACCAGGACACCTGTTGAAACATATAGCTACACCTGCCGAGCGATTTGTACCATGACTGAAGAGGATGTTATCTCCCCACTGCTGAGTCCAGAACTGAAGAGGATGTTATCTCCCCACTGCTGAGTCCAGAACTTAACGTCTGATGCATCAGAGTGTGTTTCTTGAAGGAATATGCAGTTAGCCTTTTGCCCTTTACAAAACAGAAATACAGCTTTACGTTTGATAGAGTCTTTGAGTCCCCTTGTATTAAAAGAAGAAAAGGAAATATCAGCACTAAGCTGGAACACAGAACACATGAACACTTTAAGTACCTTTTAAGGAAGGTTGTTAGGAGGTAGAGTAGAGAACCTTGAGATTAGAGTCCCATCATCTGAATTTTCCACTCTGTAATCAGGTCAGTTTCAATGTTCAGCCCAAACCTGTCGCCCTTTCCACAATGCCCTTGCCATCAATGAAGCCATGCGGTCCCCTGAAGCCCGCTGCCTTGCCTTCTTTCCTGTCTGGACAGCCAGTCCTCCTGCATCAGGTCTTCTGCGAAGCGGATTCCTTCTTCCTTGCAGACAGGGGAGGTTTTTGTGCGCTTCCAGATGTCGTCCCTTACCACTCGTTTAGCGAAGAGGATGATGACTTGCCGCGTCTTCCATCTTAGCCGCCAGGTCTGGTGCGATTTCACACAGGAGCTCCACCACCTCAGTTCTCATATTCTCGTTAACTCTTTCTCTTTCACCTTTTATCTCCTTTTGTATCTATCCTGGTTCACTAAACGCCCTTTCATGTCCTCGTTTTCTTTTCTGAGCACGTCCGTCAGCTTTTCCAAGTGTTTGACTTTCTCCTCCCACTCCTCCCACTCCTCCCACTCCTTCCACTCCTCCCACTCCTCCCACTCCTCCCACTCCTTCCACTCCTCCCACTCCTCTGAGTTTAGCTGTGCTGCTGCATTTGCTCGCTAGCCTCCTCCATTGGTTTACCAAGTGTGTAAATAGCCTTTAGTATAGTATCCGAAGAGGTGTTTGTGGCCTCTGCTAAAGGTGTACCTTTTGCTTTTTTCTCAATCTGTGGTTTTTCAGGTGTGCTTGACGGTGTGTTCCCTCTGTTACGTTTGTTGGAGGCAGCAGAGCGCCATCCTCAGCCGGGCCCCTGAGCTGAGTCCTCTAAGCTTCCCATTGGATACCATACACAGTCAGCTGACAGCTCACGGTTCGGCACGTCAGGCCGGCCAGTCTTCGTCCGCAGTTGGCCTGTTTCCCTCTTCGCTGTCTGCAGGTAGAGCGCATGGTCCCACAGGTGCAGCGCTGGACGACGGCGTCACATTCCCGCCGAGAATGCTGGGAAGTGCAGTCCCAATCACCATAGGGAAGAACGTGCTGCCTCTCAAAAAGGGGGCATGAGAGATAAACCTTCAACCCCAGTAAACGTCCCTGAGCTGGGGAAGGCGCTAAGAAAGCATCTAAACGCTGTTAGTGATTATCTGTTATAGGGCTGGTTCATGGTTCTTAGCTGGGCTGACTTTGTTGCCAAAACCTACAATCTGCTTTGAAAGAGCTGAGATAGTTGATGCTTTACTGAAGAAAGGATAACAAAAAGGTTCCTATTGGTCCATTCAATAAATCACCATCTCAACAAGCATTAATAATGAAGAGAAATGTACTTCTCAGTCAGGTTCACCTTTGGTTGTTACAGCAGCCCCACATATTCGACACCTTGTCAGAGGCTCTCTGCTGGATTCTTTTAAATAACTGCAACTGCTTTCGTGTTCCAATTCAAAATCAGACCATGCATTTTTGCTCTTAAATATACCTTTAAAACATTAGGTCTTCCGCTATCCAAGGAGAAACATCAGGCCCTGTGAGGCTGGGGTTCTAGGCATCACTCTAGATAGTGTACTGATGCAATTAATCGCATCAGAGAGGTAATGAAAGCACAGCAGGCAGTAGTAATTTCCAAAAGAGAACTGCTCTCCTTGCTCAGACATCTTAAATTGGCATGTGTGTTATTCCCCAGGGAAGTTCCCTTATATCCAGGCTTCTGGACCTCTCCGATTTATAGAGAACTCCATGATATGGTGAGCTTGGATGAGGGCTGCAGATCCGAGCCCCAGTCCTGATCTATTCTGTGTGATAAATGGGATGGAATCTCCTTCTTTTACAATGAGCAGCTAGAATCATCATTTGCCATTAATTATAAAAGACGCAGCATATTAAGCAACATATTAATGAAATCGAACGCTGTGTGCCAGTTCACCCTGGGCACTTTACATTAACAGCAAGGTCTAATAGTGTGACTGTTAATGATCTACTAGATCACTAATGAACAGCTTTTCTGAGCTTGGAACAACAGGGAGCAGACATGAGGGGCAATTTAGGGAAGGGCAATGGATCCACATGTGGACGTTGGTTTTGGGGGGTATTTTATTAATCAGTCGTTCGCAGACATATGGCCAAAAGAACTGTCATCCTTGCAGCTAATGCCTCTCTACCGCTTTAATGAATGTACCCGATTGTTGTTTCATGTCTTCTGTGGGGAAAAGACTGGTCAAGGAAACAAATCATGTTTTTGCGACAATGAGGCAACTGCCAACATCATTAACAAAGGGCGTTCTTCAGTTCCATTCATTAATAGATTTGTAAGGCGCCTCACTTGGTTATCTATGTTGGATAATTTCATCATTAGAGCAGCTCATATTCCATACTTGGATAACAATTGCTGATTTTGTCCCGGTTTGAATTGCAGAATTTCGCCAGCTGTGCCCGGAGGCAGCACCATCCAGCCTGACTTGCAGCCCATTCTCTCAAACCGTGTTAGACTAAACACAACCACGCATTCCTACATTCTAACTACTGTTCAGTATATGCGATCTGGCTGAGCTAATCTACATTAAAATTACTCCTCATTCAATTCGCATAGGAGCAGCAACAAATGCAGCATCCTTTGCTCCTGTCTCGACGCTAAGGCTATGGGTAAATGTTCATTATCTGCTTACGAACGATATCTCCGGCCTGAGGCCAAGCAAATCTTGATGCTCAAAAAGCAATGAGTGCCCTGTAATTTCCAGCTTAAATTCATTCATGTATAGCAAATTTCTGGGGATATCTCTAGTATACTTAGCCATGTACTTCAACTAGTGTCTGCTTAGACGTATTGGTTTATAGTCCTGCTGGCTCCTCTTACTGGCACTTCCATGTAGCTCATGGAAGGGAGGTTGCCTGGTGTGGTTCTTTGGGGGTCTCTGCTGCCGTTCTCCTTGTCTTAAACTGTTCCATGTATGCACATGGAAGGGCAGGGAGGTGTGCTCTCCCTGCCTTAAGATTTTCCATGTAGGCACGCGGAAGGACAAGGAGGTCCCAGAATAGAGCCATACCGCCAAATGTAAAATTCTGCTTGGAATATAAGATATTTTGACAAAAGTGATCCTGACTGAACTTTTTT